AGTTACTAAACTGTAATGGAAACGCAGCATAAAGTGAGCCTGGCCTACCAAGGCCTAACAAGGCCTAACTATACCGTACTAAGCCGTGCGATGCCCTGCAGTAGTAATGCGCCATTAGTGACCTTGCTGAGGGTGGATTTGGAGCCGATTAGGAGGAGTTCTGTTTTGTTGCTGTTCAGTTTGAGGAGGTTATGTTGCATCCAAGTTTTACACTGTAGACAATACAAATGACATAAATGATGATGTGTATGTGTGCAAAAAATATTGGGTTGTTGTCTTTCCTGTTAACAATGTTATACCAAAGTTGAAGAAGTTTCAAAACAGTGTTTATGAACTAATTGGAAATAATGCACTTTTTAAAAAACCATAATCATACATCAACATAAACTAACTGAAAGGGGCAGCACTAGACCAGCAGTAAATCTTTTAGCCGTTGACCAATCACAAAAGAGCCAGCCAGCTAGCCAATCAGAGCAGACTGGGCTCTGGTTTCAGACAGAGGGTGAAAAGAGGTGCTGCAGCACAGGGAGTATGAGAAAAATAAAGAGCTTTTTAAACATTAAAGCATGCAGACATGTCCCAGTAGAGACACTACATACTGATATACACCTGAAAATGAGCATGATAGGCCCCCTTTAATGTACATAGAGTACATGTTGGCTCATATAAAGGCAAACAGCAGATAAAGACTCAATAACAGTGCTGTTTACTGTCTCTATGTAAAATCATATAATGTGTGCTGTGTTTACCTCCATACGGTGTACCTCGGCCTTCATTATCTGGATGTCTCCCTGGCCCACCTCCGAGTCCACAGCTGAACGGGTCTCTTTCACAAGCTGGATCTTCTTCTCCCACAGCATTATCTGTCGCCTGCCACATACACAAAACACATGGACACCGAAAATAGAACACATGTAAAAGCTGTTACATGAAATGTGTCTTATGAGCTGTGAAAATGGCAAATCTGGAACGAGCTGCCAATAACTGAATTATTTCATCACATTTGATATAATGGTACTATTTAACAAAATAAGCTCTGCGAGGGGTGCATAAAGAAATTTTGGGTGAACCATTTTCTTTATCTGATCTTAATCTCAACCGTTTAAAAAAAATCGCAAATCTGTGAAACAGGTTTAGTTAGTCATGTTAGGTTAGTCATGTTTGTTGTTGTTATACTAATTCTGAAGTGCACCACTTCCTCATGTTATTAGTAGGACTACAAGCATTCATGTTTTCTTCCAAATGAATTTCTTAATGCAATCTGAACACATGCTTTCACCTGGCAAAACAGTTTTTTTTCTACAATTGTCACGGATGTAAAAAATGAAAGGGGCCCTTGTAAGCTTTTGGGGGTTTTCCCTCTCCTGTAGTGTGTCCTTTAGTTCTGCAAAGGCTACAATCCTCGAGGGACTTTCTCTCACAATCTCTCCCACCTTCCTGAAATGCCTCAATTTTTGGAATGAAGAATTGTTTTCTCCTACTTGTCCCTCAAGGCTTCTGTAATTAGGTCAAGTTGATAGCCAGCCATACAGACATAGACATTTCAACTGATATGGGCACAAAGTGAATATGCGACTGACTCAGCCTCCACCAGACTGTTTAGGATTCTCTCCTTCTCCTCCTGGATCCTTTCGTGTTTGATCTGCATCTGGATAGACTCCCGTTCTGCCTCCTAAACACATTATATATAACGTTTATGAATCAGTTATGATTGAAATGGCAGACAGAAAATAACAAAATAAATACTCAAGCCATGTGCCTTAAGTCTGTGCAGGAAGTCTGTCTCCCTCAGAGCGTTCTCCTGCTCCAGCGCCTGGCTCAGCTGTGAGTTCTTGCTCAGCAGGGTGTTGAGCTTCAGCAGGTCTCCTCTCAACATCTTGGCATTCTTCTCCAGCTCCGTCTCCTCATGGTGCTCCGCTTCAATCTGACCTGGTAGGGTTAGAGTTGGTTTCAAAGCAGCTTATCTACCACAGAAGTGCTTAAGCACATGCTGTACGATTTGTTATACTATGAAAATAGATTTGGAGATGTCAGTTTGAGGTTGTTAAATACAATAAGCATCATAGATACGTAGTTTGATTCTTAGACTTGTAATGACTCTTGTATTTGTTTCATTAAATTTGAGATACTAAGTTATTGTCTTTAGAAAAAGTATGTCATTATTTTGCAATACAATGACATCATTTTGCAACTACGTTATTATCTTGAGAACTAAGTCCTTATTTTGAGAAACCGTCAACAATTTGTGATTATATTGTGTATATTTCCCAATGATTTCATGTATTTTGTCTTTCTTTTAGAGAAAGTATGTTATTTTCTTGAGAAGTCCGTTTTTTAAAGAATGTTTCTCATTATTTTCCGAAGCTCTCATTATTTTGAGATATTAAGTCATTATTTTGAGATACTTACTAGTTTTTGAGGACATTTCTCATTAAAATAACCAGGAATTAGTTTCTCAGTACACTGTTGGAAATAGACTTCCATATATTACTTTTATATTCATTTTTGCAACTATGTTACGTACCCTCCAGGCGTATTTTCTTCTGCTGCATGGCAGTGTATTCTGTCTGCAGTTTCAGCATCTCCTTGCTGTTGGCTTCTATCTCGTGGGTCATTGCCACCAGAGTCCCCTGACGCATCATCCAGAGCTGCTGGTCACTCTTGATTCTCCCCGCCAGCTCCTCCATCTGAGCCCTTATTGCCTCTACCTTGATTTGCAGAGGACTCAGGTCTTCATGCTAGGAAAGGAGGCACATCAATCACAAAGGCAGCATGTGATTTTAGACCTGATTTCTAAAATTGTTTCTCGGAAGAAAAAAAAAGACCCTTAAAATGTCTCACCCCAGTTTTGGCTGCAATTTCATAGATCTTTTTGTTGCAGGTGGCGATGCTGGCCTGCTTTTGCGCGATGAGTGTCACAAAGGAGGACATCTTAGCCTGGATGGTCGTCAGTAACTTGTTGGACCTAGCGATCTTCTCGTCTAAAGCCTCCATGGTGAGGCCCAGGCTCTCCAGATGTTGGCTGGCTTTGCTGATCTCCTGTCCCACCGCCACTACATCATTCTCCAGCTGCCACAACCGAAAGCTCTAAAGGAGAGGAAGAGAGGACAACATGTCATAAATGATATATCTTTATAACTATGTGGTTGATATGCTGTTTTGGTAACGTTATTTCTTCAGTACATTATACTTTTTGGCATACTCGTTAACATTACTATAGTTCCCCAAGTGTATTAATACATTGCTGGAGTACTCCTATTAATAACACAGGCCTAGTTTGAAACTAAATATCTCAAATGATACTGTACATATGAACCCTTGTGCCGCACTTATAATGAGTTACATCTCCTAACCATCCTCAGTCCTTAAATATTCCTTCATTTTCACAATTTGAACCCTTTGAATACCAGTTTTTTTAGTACACAATGACACTTTAGTTATAAAGAAACACAAACAAAGCAACAAAACAATTGTTATTATTTGTAAACTAACTGGGATATGACAATGATTATTAACAATATTGATCTTGCATCAAACACATAATATATAAGAAATATTGCAAAAAACAGGAAAATAGCAAATGCTTTCCACACATGGCAATTATTCAAATGGTCTGAATCTGTTGGGAAAGAGTCAGGGTTCTGAATGGAATATATTAGAATGCATGATGTGTATGCTATAAATGCCGTGGGATCAGAAACGGTGGTTTTAATGTGTTCAGATTTATATCCATAAGGGTCTGACTGTTTGTGTTTTGGCTACATAGCGTATGACAGACGTATATAGGGGCTGAGGTCATCCTTGCCAACATTCCTGCGATATGCACAAGTAAAGAAACACGATTTCAAAACATTTCAATGAAAAAGCCCCAAATGTCTCAATGGGAAGGTGAGAGATTAGGTGGTCAATGCCTAACGTTACCTTCTCCCTCTTGAGCGTGGCTATCCTGCTGGTGAGCCGTTGGGAGTACTTGGCAGCCTTGTTGTGGGTGAGCTTCTGCTGGATGTGGGTCATGATCTTGTCCTCAATCTCCAGACGCACAGCACTCTCTTTCTGCAACTGCCTCCTCTGATCGATCACTTCAGCGTGGTGGGCACTTGTTTCCTAGGGCAAGGAAAAAGAAAAAAAGATTGACATGTTTTGAAATTGTGTGAGTAACATTCTGTTTTTAGACTTCTCTGTTTCAGTGTGTGTACTCTGTATAAATGCTCTGTAGTTGATCTGATTGAAATTGTGATTTTAAATCTCAAAACCGCTACAGTATCTGTCAGGCAGAAACTTGGGACAATTCATTTCTTGACAGAAACCTTAAAACTGAACTAATTGACTGCTAGGGTTAACTTTGATTTCAACATTTGTAGAACACTAAAAGCTTTATTGAGTAGGTGTAACTGTATTAAGAGTTAAACTCATAACTTTATAACTTAGGGTTTAATGTAATTGTAAAACCATTGTTCCACTGAAAACACAATAACAACTCAGGAGGGAGCCAGTCTAGATTTCCTTTTGGGGGCCACCAGCTGCAGAGAATTAACTAATTCAAGGGGCGTGGCCCCCACAGCTGTGAGAACTCAGCAATCAGGACAAACATTTGGAGCAGGGCAGGTGGCAACACTGGACTGTGACTGGATGAGAGATGGCAGAGGGAAGTGACGGGGCAGGAAGCGAGTTAGGAGACATGGAAGGAGTAGGCGGGAGTTATGGAAATGGAGAATGGGATATAGTGAGGAGGAATAAAGGTAAAAAGCAAGGAAATACTAATTCGGATGAGAGTAATAGTGAGGGTGAAAGGAGAGAAAGAGTAGTCGGAAATAGGCGACAGGAGTTCATGGTGGTTGTGAAACTTGCGAAAGAGGGAGCTTCGTTTGGCGAGTGGAACCCTATACGGTTAACTAAATCCATTAGTAAAGAAATCGGGGAGGTAATGAGTGCCAAATTATTGAGGAATGGATCAATGTTGATCAAATGTAGGGATAGAGAGCAACAGGGGAGGGCAATAAAGATGAGTACCGTGGAGGGTAAGAAAGTGGAGTGTTCACTGTTTAGTGGTAAAAAGCTAGTCAGGGGAGTTGTGACAGGAATCCCCGTCAGAATTACAGCGGATGATGTGAAAGAGAATATAACAAATGCAAAAATAAGTGATGTCAAACGCATGAAAGCAAACCGCAATGGGGTTAAAGAAGATAGTCTTTCGGTTCTGATCACCTTTGATGAGAAAAGGCTTCCGGAAAAAATACTTATTGGATATATGTGTTATTATGTGAGACCGTATGTTCCACCACCAATAAGACGTTTTAAATGTCAGAGATTTGGACATGTGGCGGCAGTGTGCAGAGGGAAAACAAAGGTGTGGCAGATGTGGTGGAGATCATGAATACGGCAAATGTGAAGAAGGGGTAAAGCTGAAATGTTGCAATTGCGGAGGGGAGCGTACCGTGGATGTGAGGTTAGCAAGAAAGCAGAAGAGGTGCAGCGAGTCAGGGTGACGCAGGGAGTTAGCTATGCAGAGGCAGCCAAGACAGTTTCAGGAGGAACGCAGGTTACAATGGAAAACAAGAATAAGAGCAAAGAAACAGAAAAAGTCCACAACTGTGTTCAGTTGAAGGAGGACACTCTGATAGTGAGTAAAACAGAGTTTGTATTGTTTATGGCAGAGATTATCAACTGTTCAGCGCAGACTAAAAGCCGGAATGAAAGAATAAAAATAATTGTCAGATCAGCTGAAAAGTACCTTGATGTGAAAGGGATGCAGTGGGAAAATGTGAAAGATATACTAAATGATGACGTCCAACAATCTCAGACATGCAGTGGATCAACTTGATGGTGTTAGTTGTACTGCAGTGGAATGCCAGAAGTTTAATTGCAAATGGACAAGAGTTTAAAAAATATAATGACAATCTGGGAGAGAAACCTAATGTTCTTTGTATTCAGGAAACATGGCTGAAACCACAACTGGATTTTATTGTGAAGGGATATACAGCAGTTAGAAGAGATAGGGACTCTGGCAGAGGGGGAGGAGTTGCAACATAGAGTGGTGTAAGTTACAAAGTTATGCATGTAAGTACAGATCATGAAGCAATAGTTATAAGGGTATGGAATGATAGAGGACCTATAGATATAGTAAATTATTATAATCCATGCGGGAAATTAGATCAAAGTATATTAGAGGATGCTGGGGGTTCACTGCAAGACAAAGTAATATGGTGTGGGGATTTTAATTCACATAACTCGCTATGGGGAAGCAGTAGCACAGATGCAAATGGTGCAGTAGTTGAGGAATTTATAGATGACCACGGGCTAGTGTGTATTAACACTGGGGAAGGAACAAGATATAATTGTACAAAGAATATAGAAACAGTACTCGATCTGACATTTGTGTCTAGTGCTTTAGCAGGTATAAGTACATGGAATGTGGTAAAGCATACTACAGTGGGCAGTGATCATTATCCTTGTAAATGACTAAGTTGGGCCAACATACGGTTTGGAAAGGAGAAGAAAATTCCTAGATGGAAATTGGGAAAGGCTAATTGGGATGCCTTCCAATTTGTAAGTACGAATAGATGTAAAAACCTTCAAGAGGAAAATGATGAATGATATAAATAAATTCAATGAGGAGCTCGTTAAGGTTATCATACATTCAGCTAAAGAAACAATTCCGGAATTGCAGGAGTTAGGCGTACCAAGAGTGTACCCTGGTGGAATGGTGAATGTAGGAAATCCATTAAAGACAGGAATAAAGCATTCAGACAACTCAAAACACCATTCTCAGGAAGCTTTGAATCAGTATAAAAGGCCCAGGCTATAGTAAGGAGGACAATAAAACGCAAAAAACGCACTTTTTGGAGGCAATATTGCCATAGCATTGGAAGAGAAGTAACAGCTTGCAGATGTTTGGGGCATGATTAGGAGAATGGGGGAGTTCGAAGGAATTATGAGTTGCCCGTTTGAGCAGAGGGGACATAAATGCTGTCACAACTTAGGAAAGGCGGAACTTCTAGCTCAGAATTTAAGAAGTTCATAGTTCAGATAACCTTACAGAGAAGCCAGGCAGTGCAGAGATAATACACATTAATGGAAAACCGCCGAGAATATTGGATAGATGAGTAAAGTGGTTGGGGGATCAGGTGGATCTGCATTTAGTATGTTTGAGTTGAGGAGAGCAATTATTAGTGGCTCGTCAAACCACTCTGGGAAAGATGGTGTTTGCTATAAAATGTTGGAAACACATGACAGATAACTCTCTAGTCATTGTGTGATAGGTTTTTTAATAGGTGTGGGAATTCTGGCCAACTTCTTCAGTGTGGAAATCAAGCGATAATAGTGCCCATCCTAAAGCCAGGGAAAGACCCTTCAGATCCATCTAGCTACAGGCCTATTTGCCCTGACATCTCATTTATGCAAAATCATGGAAAGAATGGTTACAGAAAGGTTAACATATACTTAGAAGTAAGCTCTGTTGTTCCATATCAAAGTGGTTTCCGTAGGGGTCGGAATACAACTGGATTCTATAACTTGTCTTAGAATCAGACATCAGGAAAGCACGAGACCAACAAGGAAGTAGTGATTGCGCAGTTAGTCTTGGATATAGAAAATGTTTTCATACCGTCTCATTACCTGCTACATCCCTAGTGGAATACGGATACTGAATCAAGCTAAAATGATGTGGAATTTGTGTGGTAAAGCATTCAATTGGGTTTGTTTTGTACTGTTATTATAAGAGTAGGTGCAGAATATTCCAAGTGTTTATGCTGTGGAAAATGGTCTCGCAAAGGGTATGTGTGTAGTCGTTGCTGTTCAATATAATGATACATGACATTTTAATCAAGTAATCCAAGTATGGGGAAAATCTTTGTAGCAGAGATGGGGCTTTGTGGGCAAAGGCCGCGATGTAGCACATGTTGGAAAGAAAATACAAGACTGCAATAGTGGAAGTGGGAAATGGGACAAGATAAATGGGGATTCAACTGTCCAGTAGTAGACGGCAGGTCATTTGTTTTACAAACGGCATTAACATTGATCCTATATGTTTAAATTGTATGGAGCAACCTCGTTGAACAGTTAAAATGCAATAAGATTTCTTGGTGTTTGTATTGACAGAAAGCTAACATGGAGCAATCATATAGGAAAAGTTCAAAATAATGTAAAAAAGTCAACAAAATGTACTTCGGTGTTTTGGCGGGACAGAGTGGGGAGCAGAGTAAGCCATCACTTCTGAATATATATGGGCACTTATAGAACCTGTATTCGATTATGGGAGTGTACAGACTGTAGCGATTCATTTCAACAGTTGAAACGCGAGGCCGTGATGGACGTGATCCTGGCCCTCGCTCAAGGAAAACTCCAGTTTGACTGAGGAACCGCCCCGGATAGATAAATGTAATTATAATGAAGCCAGCTGCATGGATTATTGATCCACCAGGGGGGTCAGTGGGTCCCAAACTGGCTCATGTGAATAAAAGTCAGATACAGTATGCTGGATCTACAGCGGAACTTTGTTAAGGATCCATATTGTCACGGATATCCATACTACTGTGCTAAATAAGGAGACATTCATCATTTACACAAACATCACATGTTGTTAGTTTAACCCTAATAATTTGTGTTATTCGAAAAAAACGAATCCGGGAGGAAATTGCAGCCCGGCTCTCGGATTTGTTTAATCCTAATTTAATCATCTCTTCCACCACGATCATTTATGTTTATGTTCGCCGATATTGACATGAAATCACTGACACCATATTGAATATAACTGTATTAACTTCATTAAAACGTTATTACGGTGCCTAAACTCAGTAATTCACACAACAATATGTATATTTTAATGGAGCTTCGTCGGTCGATCAGATCCAAAGTGTAGCGGAGGCGATC